TTATCTCTTTCATGTACATCACCTTTATGTATTCATTTCTTAATGTAATCAACATTCATTTACTTTTCATATTATATTACTGTGATTAACCATTGTTAATGTTATTCTTATGTTGTGTTGTGTATTGTAATCTCAAAGATTTTTACATCACAAGCAGCAGTTGTATTTGCTTGGTAACAGTTGTGGAATGTATGCTGGTCAGACAAACACTGATCATAAAGAAGAATGCAACAAAAATTATTCAGTAATCTTGATTCAGTTATTTTATCACTTTATCTCATGCTTTCTGCTCTTTCTGTATCTGCATCTCAGGACTTTACACACAAGACAAGCTCTGCTGTGACAGCTCTTTCATATTCTCAATAACAAAAAGTATATTTTCATACTCTTGTGATTAGCAATTTGTGTTACCAAGCAATTGAACAGGTGTACCTAATAAAGTGGCCGGTGAGTGTATTTCTTATGCATGTGAATTGGGTTACGCATGTGTGCATCGCGTCTTTTGCGTGAATTATTATTGAGATCATTCTGGCTCCATAGATAACAGGTACGTTTTAATCCTAAAAATAATGCATTGTTTTGAATGAATGAATGAGGGATTTATACTCCTCAGCCATCACCAGTGTGCAGCATCCACAGTACAACGGTGCCAGTGTGCTCACCACACACCAGCTACAGGTGAAGAGGAGAGAGAGCGATAGAGACAATTCAGTGGATGGGGATTATTAGGAGTCCATGATTGACAAGGGCCAGTGGAGGGAATTTGGCCAGGACACCGGTGATACACCCTTACTCTTTATAAGAAGTGCCATGATTTTTTTAGTGACCACAGAAAGAGTCAGGACCTGTTTTATGAATCATCCCAAGGATGGTGTTATGTAGGATGTAGCCATATCTATGTTAAACATTAATGCAATTAAAGTCTGTTAAATATTATACAACATAATATTACATTGCCTAATATTAAAATCCAGTTTTGAGAGTAGTGGAAATGTGGTACTTAGTGACTCACCTTTTCCTTTGTTTCTCAAAAGAGTTGCATATAGCCCACATGGTAGCAATAAAGTGGAGATAAAGATTTCCTAAAGGACATTGCAGCTGATGTCCACCATCATGATGACCTGATGATGGATTTAAACTGACCTGTACACCGTATTAATCATTAAGTGAAACAGGTACTATACAGTCATCTGAGCTAGTCACCACTATGGGCAGAGACCTCATCAGTGCAAAAGAAACCCCTGCACTTATAATGAAGTGAGTCCTTTTTCAGATCTTCCCATGGTGTATACCTTTGTTGCATTATGTTCTTCATTATATGGTGGTGGAAGCAAAATGTTTATTGCAAAGTGTGAACATTCATACCTCTTCATCACGTGTTGAATTAGTGCATTTCATTTGGACGTACCAATTATACTGATTTCATATTAAATTTTAAAATTAATCTGGTCATTCCTGTTATTCAGAACATGTTTATATTCCCATCATATGGGTTTATATATTGGACAAAAATGCTTAACTAAACTTTAAAGATTTAAAACATTCATTTTTTAAATCACAACATATTACAGGTATTTATAAAATGATCAGGTGTTACAAGTATTTATAAAATGTTCATTCAGTCTTATGAAATATCCTGACGATATAATATATGTAATATCATATGTAATATATATATATATGTAATACATATGTAATATCCAGCCGAGTCTGCTTACAGACAGGAGGTAAAAGAGCTGGCAGTCTGATGCAGTCACAACAACCTGAAGCTCAACACACTCAAAACAGTGGAGATGAAAGTGTACTTCAGGAGAAACCCCCCCTGCACTCTCCCCACTCACCATCATGAACAGCACTGTAACTACAGTGGAGTAATTCAGGTTCCTGGGCACCACCATCACTCAGGACCTGAAGTGGGACACTCACATAGACTCTATTGCTAAAAAGGCCCAGCAGAGGTTGTACTCCCTCCGCCAGCTGAGGAAATTCAACCTGCCATAGGAGCTGCTGAAACAGTTCTACTCTGTGTCCTGTGTTTATCAATAACTGTCTGGTTTGGTTCAACTACCAAATCAGACATCAAGAGACTACAGCGGACAGTCAGGACTGCTGAGAGGATTAGCGGTGCCACCCTGCCCAACCTCCAAGAAATTTACATCTCCAGAGTGAGGAAAAGGGCTAAGAAAATCACTCAGGACCCCTCACAACGAGCCCACTCTCTCTTCCAAATGTTGCCTTCTGGTCCGTGCTACAGAGCACCGACCACCAGTACAGCCAGGCACAAGAACAGCTTTTTCCCGCAGACTATCTTCAGCCTGAACAATTAAAACTTCCGTAACTAATCTATACCTTGTCCATCATAACTGACATACTTATATTTATACATAGAATTCAAAATGTGTACATTTGTAAACTACACACTTGTAAATAACATATCTGTAAATTCATTTAAGCAATACATTTTTTTTCTACACTTCTAAGTCTGTATATAGTGCATTATTTAATTTTCTGTTTTTATTAGTGTTATATTCCATCTCTACTGTGTTATTCCTAGGTATGTCTTCACTGTCATGTATGTTTGCACTATGTCTTTGTACTTTCTTCTGCACTGGAAGCTCCTGTCGCCAGGTCAAATTCCTTGTGTGTGTAAACATACTTGGTAATAAAGCTCTTTCTGACTTCTATTTTTTAAAAGTCTTTATTGGATCTTTATTTCTGTAGCTACTTTTAATTTCTTTCTAAATTTCATTCTTCTTTCTAGAGACAGAGAGAGTACCCTATCCTATACATATTTGGGAAAAGTTAATAAATATTTGAATCTTACAGGTGAGAGCTTAAGAACCATCCAATTATTTACTTCCTAGAGCTCAAACTAACTTCAGTCAAGCCAGCATAACTGGCCACGCCGAAATGGCATCTTAAGGTCAACAGTACTTTAAAAAGACACGCCTGTAGGGACGTGAAAAGTGGAAACCTTTTCTGATAACCAGAAGTATCCGTTTTTTTAACAGCCGAAATAATATAGCGGGAGGGAGTAAGTATTAATCATCACAGTAAACGGTAAACTTACCCATGTCTTTGGTTAAAAATCACAGTTTATCTGCAAATGTGGTAAACATTCTCTTATCATATTTTTCTTCTACTGCTCTTATCAAGGCCGCATATTTGTTTTCCCTGCCCAAACTGTTTGTTTGGTTTAATTCAACAGCGCAGAGCGTCGCGAGCTCGTGCTGGAATGCGTCCAGAGACGTGTAGCGTGGGCGGGGCTTTCAAATTCACGGCTTCAGAAAAAGTTTCATTAAATATCTCGGGAATCCGGCTGATGGCAAACTAGAGCATACTTGGATCTAGACTCCCCATGGATCTCATCTGAAGAATAATTGATCCCTAATAAGACGGACAGATGATAAAAATGAAGAAAATCGAGAAAGAGAATGAAGGAGTTGGAGGAGAGAGAAAATCCGAAAAAGATCAGGTGTGTTTGATACATTTTATTGTTCATGCTTTGTCAAGTTCATATTTGGTAATATTTATTTTGCCACTGCATTAAAACGAGGTGGCTTTCCATACTATACGTACAAAGCGCTGATTAGTTATAGGGGAAACTCGTAAAACTGTCAAATGACTGATATTAGTCCTGTATCTACACTGCAAAAACATCAGACGTCCGGAGTTACGATTTTGTGAGTGCAGGTTTATGCACCTGTAAGAAGTTGAATGACAAACGTTTCCCAAGCTTTTCCATGTTTCCATACCATATTTTGATATTGTCTTGCACCGCTGCGTATTTGTTTAGTAGACGCTTTTATCCAGTGGACTGAGAACAAGCAATTTATCAAATTAGACAAAGAGTCCTGCTGCCACTCCTAATACATTTCAATAAGTCTCCACCTTAATATGTAAAATGTATTAGGATATGTGTCTTAATATGCAACAATTGTAAGCTACATGCAAATGTAATGACTGTTTTAATGGCCTTTCCAATCAGGTTTGGATTGGATTGTCTCTGATGTTGCTGAGGAAAGTCATATGAAATGATTAACCAAATTTTAAAGCACCATATTAAAGTTATAAGCTTGTTTAACAGGTTTTTGCACTTGCTCAATGTACAGGATGAAGATGGGAGACCTATTTATACATACACGTACATACGTATGCACACACACACACACACATTTGTCTGTCCTATAAGATGTTTACATTTAAGATATGCCAGAGCTTTTTGTGTTCTATGTATTATTCATTTCACTATATTGCTATTTTATAATTCTCAAAATGCAAAATTAATAAAGCAATTAAAAAGTCATTGCGTGCATGAAATAGAAATCGAAATGTCATACATTTATAAAATATATTAATTAAAAATATACACATTGTTATAGGAGAATGAAATGGAAAAATACAACAAATCAAGATGAAGATGGATAATAGCATGTTAAAAAGGAAAACATTGTCAAATTACAGAGCTAGTATATTTTGTGTTATGCATAATTGTCATCCAATAAAAAGTATATTACAGCTCTTATGTTGGATAAACAAACTGTTTGTAGTTGAAAACAAGTTGACCGTGTTAATTTAATTTTAGCAACCTAAGAAGTCTTTCTCTTTTTATTTTGTTTTAAATGCTCCTAAAGGTTTGATTATTATCTCAGCTTAGCATCTGTTTTAATAATCAAAACGTTTTGAGACTTTTTTTCCCATTGATTATGTAGTTTCCAAATACAGTTATCTAATATGCAGCCGTCTTCGCCCAGAATGAAGTTTTTTATTTATTATAAAATTATAGTTAAAACAGTTATTTGCTAAGTACAATTATTTTGATTACTATAATTATCATGTTTTATTGTTCGATGTGTGAGGCAATCATTGGTTTTGAAATAGTTAGGCAGTAAGTAGGCAGAAGTCACAAATAAGCTGTTAGTTTCTGTGATTTAGAATCGCATTTCACACATTAAAACATTTCCTTGGAAATTCTTTTGCCATTCAAGCGTAATCTCATAGTTTGTTCTCCTCAGTCACTAACTGTGAAAGAAAAGAAACCGGACCTGCATGTGCAAATGTCTCTGACTCATGCTTTACTGTGTAATGTCTGTGTTGTAGAGCTGGATCCCAAAGATGATTAAAAAGAGAGTGTGCACCACCTTTGTGGAGGACTCATCCAGGTACAACAGCCATTTTCAATATTCTCTCGCATTCAGATTTACTAGCGTATGCAGAAAATCCATTCAGTCCTTTCATACTCTCTTATTTAAAACAGACATTGATCTTCTGGTAATATGATCTGAGCCGTTAAGTAGCTGATTTGGTAATGTAGGGTGGGTCAACAAACATGCCGTTTTTTCTTGAATGAAGGTGAACTCCTAGCCATTTGTCAACACAGTACATTTTCCCTGTCCTTTTCCCATTTACAAGCTATTGTTATGGAATGATTCACAATAGGGTTTGGGCAGGTACTGTTTTCATTTCATTTATTAATTTTAGTGATGATGTGTACATTATGTGACATACTGTTTGATTTCAGCTATTAATGTCTTCATTTGATGAATTAATTGTAACATGAATGACATGCACACACACAAAGGAGATTGATTTCTTTTTTTCTCTTTAAGTCTCTTCCTCTGAAATGATGGCTTGAATAGTAATTATATCAGAATTCTGAACCCACTGAAACCTGTTTTAACAGTTCTCTCTCTCTCTCTCTCTCTCTCTCTCTCTCTCTCTCTCTCTCTCTCTGTGGCAGTAGTGGGGCTTTGTGCCAGTGTGGTGGACCACGGGACATCCATGCATCCATAACGACTGATCATGTGATCAGCCAGTGGGACAGTGAAGAACACACCTCTGAATACCCCACCGATGCCTTTGGACAGCTGGAGTTTGCTGGAGCCGGACGCAGAAACAGTCCAGTGGGTGTCTCACTTTCTTCTACACATCCTCAAGCATGCTCAATCACAGTTACTGTAATTTGAAATACGAACTCCATCTGACAATACAACTATGATAAATTGGTAATACTTTACAGTGAGGATCTATTCTTTAAAGAAATTACTAAAAACTCACAAATGCGATGATAAAAACCACATCTTTACTGAGGAACATTTTGGTCACACCATAACCTTCTTCAGTGTCTAATTACATAATTACTATGTATGTATATTACAAAATGATATATAGTAGAGGAAAATATGTGTAGTTTATCTTTTTTCAATTCTCATAGTGTGCAGGCCTTTATGCAACCTTTCGCCTGTTCAGGTTCTAACCATTAACATTAACATTAACATTAAATGCAGAAGATGTCAGTGACTAAAGATGCTGTCACATTAGCAAATAGTAAGCAAAATTCCATAAACAAAAAAGAAACATTGTCTATTGTCAAAAGTATAGCCATGTATGAAGCAGATCTCACAAGTTCTCTGTTGGTTAACACGGTGAATTCGCATGACCAACCGAATCCATTGCCAAATCTGTGTGTGGAAATATGTTGTCCTCTCTAGAAATACACGATCACCCAGATTCCATTTAAAATTACTGGATTTTTCTTGTGAAAATTTGCTTAACAGCGGTAAATGAGATCTTTACAGTTTTACAGTGTTTATGATTTACGTTACTTTCTACACAAATTAACAAGAAGTCTGTTAATAAATAAACAATAACTTAAATCATAATGTTTTTCATTTTTATTTTGTGGTGTCTAAAGCATTAAGATATAGATCTTAGTAAGGGTGGACCATATTGAATTCTACCTGTATGAAAATGAGACTTTGAGGGACAGACACACAGATATTTATTTGTGTATGTAACAGGTAGAGTGAAACATCAATAAACGTTATGTAAATGCGCCACAGTTAACCAACGTTTTTTGGAAAAATATAAAATGAAATGACAAAAAGCCTACTGAAAGTTTATTTTTGGAAAGCTGTTTCATCAACTGAACAATTTGCATGTTGTTAAACAGCATTACAATCCCTGAACTCACTGTGTCCCTGTTCCTCACAGCTTCGTTTTTTTACTCCTGTCAAAAATTAAATATGGCACTACCCTGACTAAGGTCTATTGTCAATCCCTTTAAAAGTCTGCCAGGCTGCTGGGCAATTACAGAGCTACTATAAAAACATGTAATCCACAGCAATTATAAACTACCCTTTAACCAACCCCACAGAGCCTGAAGTCATACACTTCTCACAACCACATTAAAGCCAATTAAATTTAGACAGTAACAAAACAACATTTTTTTGGAGACCGTGTGTTGCCTCAGGCAGATCCATTGTTCAGTCTTTCTCTTCTCACACAAATCCCTTCCTACTTTCTGCAATTTGTGAGTGACAGCATAAATATCCTGCATGTTTGTGCATGTGAGGAACATGTCTGAATGCCTGTGTATCTTAGTTTAGGATGAATAATATCACACATACAAACATTCAGGACCTTTGTTCTGCTGTGCATTCATATGTCATTCATCTTGTGTCCCCAAGTTTCTGCGCCTGGCACATGATACACCTCCGGACAATGTATACTCGCTGATGACGTCACAGTGGGGCCTGCCGATACCCAATCTGGTGGTGTCTGTGGTGGGGGGAGAGGGGAAAGAGAAGGTGAAACCCTGGGTGCGAGAAGTGATCAGACAGGGTCTAGTCCGGGCCGCACAGAGCACAGGTAACCTCTCCTGCTCCTCTATCTTTAGCTCAGTTATGAGTGCTTAAACCTTTATACTCACTTATCTAACCAATCACATGTGGACTGTTAACCCTTCCTTCACCTATATATATATATAAATATATATAAGGAAGCAACATTGAAATGGTTGAAGTAATAACCAAAATAAAATAATGAATCAAAAATAAAAAAGCAATTATTGCATGCCAGAATAAATGTGTGATGAACATTTTACTTAGTTTTTCTGACATCCCTCAGCATGTCCATGCATGCCTTTACATACAACACACAACAAACTTCCAAGTCATATCAGATTGTGAAACTGGAGACCACTTTTTTTTACAGTGAAGACTTAAAGCAGGGAATGTGTGTGTATGTGTGTGTGTGTGTGTGTGTGTGTGTGTGAAAACATCCACAGATGACAAGTCATGAGATGTCCTTAAAATTACGAAGCTGATAACAAAAATGAAACGCTAATGACACTACTGTGGCCTTATAATTGTATCATATATCACTGCATATAGACATCCAGAGACCAAGTATGTTTTATGAACATTTAACTCTAACCTCTCCTGCTCCTCTATCTTTAGCTCAGTTATGAGTGCTTAAACCTTTATACTCACTTATCTAACCAATCACATGTGGACTGTTAACCCTTCCTTCACCCTCCACCTGGGTTAATATTGTGCACTAAAACTAAGATTTATTTATTTTTACTCATTTTGTTTTATGAACATTTAACTCTGGTTTGGATATGGTTCTGAGTTCATGTTTCAGGCCACCTCTCGCTCAGAGTAGATCAGGTAGGACATGTAGCTTTACTGAAATGTTCTGTAAAATAAGTTTTAATAACTGTTTTCATGTACCCAGTAATTAGTGACTAGTCTTAAGGTCAGTGATTGACAGGCCAAACTAGTATTACTCAACAGTGGCATTCCTCCAGTGTGTGTGTGTTTCTAGTGTGTTGATAAGGTTTATTATGTATATGGTAAGAATGCAAGTGGCTTTAATCTAGAAGTGTTGCATTATGGTCAAAACCTTTATCAGTGATGTTGTTTGTGACTTTTATGTATTTCCATGCAATTTAATTAAGCTACTGTGCTGAGTAATTTAGGTAATAGTACTTTTCATTTTCTTTTTCCAGGGGCTTGGATCATAACGTCAGGTCTGAGGGAGGGTGTTGGCCGTTGTGTAGGTGAGGCAGTAAGGGATCATTGTGCAACAGCTTCATCTCTTTCCCAGGCCAAAGTTATAGCTGTTGGTGTTGCGCCCTGGGGATTGATTTACCAACGTCAGCAACTCGTAAACCCACAGGTATTACCGTATGAGTCCATTCTGCTTCAGTATCAACAGTTCACATGAAAGCCACACTTAAAATGTATGAATGTCAAAAAATGCGCATCTCGTCAGTAAAGGCGCTCCTGTGATTAGTAGTAAATCTCCAGCACGTGCTTTCAGATAGAGCGGCAATGAATCGTCTGCGATTTTGAACGCGATTTTGCGTAGCTTGTCAGTGAACTACGGCTCTGTGTAGTAAATGCTGCTCCATCTGAAAGCACGTGCTGGAGATTTACTACTAATCACAGGAGCGCCTTTACTGACGAGATGCGCATGAAAATCGCATTAGATTTTTTGCACAGCCCTAATTTTAAGTGTAGTTCAATATCCAGATATGTTTTACAGAGTGTACAGTAGCATTTCACTAATGTCATATAGACCTGAATAGTGTTTTGAACTGCTGTAGGACTTTGGCTAGGCTGCTCTGTAAAAACTTAATGCGCATCTCGTCAGTAAAGGCGCTCCTGTGATTAGTAGTAAATCTCCAGCACGTGCTTTCAGATAGAGCGGCAATGAATCGTCTGCGATTTTGAACGCGATTTTGCGTAGCTTGTCAGTGAACTACGGCTCTGTGTAGTAAATGCTGCTCCATCTGAAAGCACGTGCTGGAGATTTACTACTAATCACAGGAGCGCCTTTACTGACGAGATGCGCATGAAAATCGCATTAGATTTTTTGCACAGCCCTAATTTTAAGTGTAGTTCAATATCCAGATATGTTTTACAGAGTGTACAGTAGCATTTCACTAATGTCATATAGACCTGAATAGTGTTTTGAACTGCTGTAGGACTTTGGCTAGGCTGCTCTGTAAAAACTTATGGTTGGTTACTCTTTACAAGGGTAGTTTCCCAGCGCGGTACTATGTGCACAACATGCCCCATGAATGCAGCTGCCTGGACAACAACCACCAGGCCTTCCTTTTGGTGGATGATGGGAGTGTAGGACACAGAGGTAGTGAAACAATGTTCAGAGCCAACCTGGAGGACTTCATCTCCCATCAGCGCACTGGCATCTGGGGTGAGAGAAAGAAGACAGTTCAACTGAAAAATAAAACATCTTTAAAGTCTTCTTGAGCACAAAGCACAACAGCAAATTCCCAAATCCTTTATCTAGCACCTTCATCAGGGACTGCGACGGGAAGCACAAGCACATCCCTGAGGAACCATGCACTTCCTTTTATTCAATAAAATAAATATCAGAGAAGTAAACACAAAATGAGAGGAAGGAAGAGGGAAGTTAAACACTGGTGTGCTGCTATATGAAAAAAAAGTAGTGTTTTGTTATTTAGTAAAGTAAATGCCCTCAGAATTATTTCATTTATTAGAAGTAATAATGTTTATTGTCCCTACACAGGAAAGACAGGAAAGTTGTTTTTGCAGCATTACATAAAATTTAATCCACAATCACAAAGACACCAATATATTTATATATGTATATATATATATATGTATGTATATATGTACACCTTTTAGAATAAAATAAGGCTAAATTTGGCATGTAATATGAGGACTACACTGCCCTCTGGTGGATCAGAATGAGAATGCAATTCTGAGACAAATGGAAACTAAACACTAGTGCCTTTAGGTTGTTTGTTTTTACTCAGTTTAATTTGAGTAATGCTATACTTTTCTTATATTAACAAATCTGTCTTCCTCCTGTCCTTAACAGGTAGTGGAAGCATTGAGATTCCTGTTTTGTGTGTGCTGATCGCAGGAGATGCTGCAATGCTGGAGGTCATTACGCAAGATTATTTTAATTGTTTTAATATGAATATAGTATATATAATATGTATTTAGTTTTATTTTATTAATATTATTTTTTATTTTATGTACCTATTCAATGTAGTCTGGGTCATCTCCAAAAGCATGAACAAAACAATGCAAATTAAAAGATTACTTTATGTTGTTTTATTCATACTTTTCTTAATGCCTGTAGCCTGTAACCCAACTGTCCATGTGCTATTTGCATTTAGCACTGTTTTTGGAATGAGGCCCACCAGTGATTTATTATACACCATTTACAGTTACAGTCATAAATGCTCATAAAAAGTGTCTAGGGATCTAAAATGTAAATGAATAGTTTAAAATGGCAGTTTTATCCGTTAAATCAGTTTTAAGCATATTTGAAATTAACGATATCTTTCTTATTGCAGAGAGTGGATTTATCTCTGAAAAACACCACTCCATGGTTGGTGCTGGCTGGCTCGGGTCCAGCGGCAGACCTGATAGCGGCAATACTGAAGGATCTCAACATACCTCTGAGTCCACCAGTGAGTCCCACTTTACCGACCGCTGCCGAGGAAAGCAGGAAAAGTGCCAGTGTTGAGCTGAGGGACCAAGTGAGAGAGAAAATGAAGAAACACTTCCCTTCTGAGACTGAACTGGAGAAGCTTGTGGATCAGGTGAGCGTACAGCAAGAGGCCGAAGGGATTTCTTTTACTTTTAGTTACTTTTCTCTTTTTCACACAGGCACTTAGTATCTATCACAACCGAGATCTGATCACTGTGTTTCATGGAGACCAGGAAGGGCGAGATGACTTTGACAGAATCATCCTTAGAGCTCTCGTAAGAGGTGAGATTAAATCACCTGCTCTGAGAATTCAACACGTTTACAGTATATACTTATGGGTTTATGTGTGCATGTGTGTGTTCAGCTGCTAAACGGGATGCTAATGATCCTAGCGAGTACACTGAAGAGCTGAAGCTGGCAGTGGCCTGGGACAGAGTGGATATCGCCAAGAGTGAACTCTTTAATGGTGGCATCCAGTGGAGGGTAGGATTAATAGCAAAATGCATGAAACCAAATGTGTTTTAACATCACAGTTTCTATTGATTTATTCTTTCTCTTAGTATGAAGACCTTGAGGAATCAATGACTGATGCGCTGGTGAACGACAAGCCCCATTTTGTGCGTCTGTTCGTGGAAAACGGCTTAAACATTCTGGACTATCTGACGTATCATCGTTTAGAGAGTCTTTACAGCTCACTGTCAGACTGCAATCTGGTGTCCTCATTCCTCCAGAGGAGGCTGCAGGAACGAGTGGGCTTAGTTGGCTCTCAGACCCGCTTAGCTTTACATGATGAGAATGACTCTTTCAAGAGCCACGCCACCACCCTCACCACCCCGTCTGCTGCTCGAGACCTCACCCTGTATGAGGTAAAAGGAATAAATGAACTTTTCCACGACATTCTAATTTATTGAGATGCACCTGTATACAATTGCATTCAATTTCATTTGATTTAATTGAGTAAGATGTGTCAAATATGCTTATGAGTTAGTTATTATTGTGCAGTTTCCCACTTTCCACAGCATTTCTTACACATGAAATCTAGAACCATGCACTCCATCTAAAAAAAAAAAAAAGAACAAGGAATAACAATGATGTCTTCACTAAGATAACATCTTCATTATGATTTTTTCTTCACCTCTCAGGTTTCACGGGTGTTATCAGAAATCATGGAAGATGTCTGCCAGCCATTTTACTACGCTCCTCTTGGAGTAGAACAGGGATGGGCCTCAAGGAAAGCAATGAAGGTACCAGCCAGGTTTTTTCAGAGGTTTTGGGATTGGTGAAATGATTTGACTTGCGGCACTTATGTTAATACATTATACAGTGCACAGCATAAATGGTTTTTGCTAGAAAAAGAGCAGGAGAAATAACATGCAAGTGTCTCGGAGCCGGCAAAAGCTATGAAAAGAGTGACAACAAAATTGGCTAATTTACTTATCTTACAGAAAATATCGGCATATATTTTGTTATTTTTATTAAGTATATGTTTAATATGTTTAAATTTTGCCACCTTTCCATGAATTATATTAGTGATCATTAAGAAAATACATCTTTTATATTTATTCAGAGGGGATGTACTCATTTATGCTGTGCACTGTAGATAACAATGTTGTGATCATAGTTTCTGTCTCGTCCTTTCAGCATGTGAATAAGTTGCTGCGAACTGAGAGTGTGTACCGGAAACAGCGCTGTATGTCTCCCTGGATAGCTCTGTTCATTTGGGCTGTTCTTCAGAATCGCAGAGAAATGTCTATCTACTTCTGGGAAATGGTATTGTTGGTATTGAGTCATAGTTGAAACCCATATCATGTTCTCTGCTAATTCTTTCTAATCTCGTATGATATTTGGTCAGATATATAGCCTACATTTGCAAATGAGTAGGTTAAAGTTGCATATGACAGTGATCCTGGACTCTATACTGACACCTAGTGGCGTGGATTCAGTATCACACTAAAGTATTCAGCTGTTGATGCAACTGTAGAAATGTCATATGAATTTATTCAGCAAGTAAAAGTGTCCAATAGCAGGAGGGTTGCATGCAGAATACCACAGATGTATTATTTATTATGACTATTATGATTATTATAATTCTCATGGTCAGAGTATTATTATTATTATTATTATTAATTTTGCTTTGTTTTGCTCCTTTCCCCCTCTCTCTTTCAATGCTAGGCGGGGGAGTCGGTGCTAAGTGCTCTTGCTGGGTGTAAGATATTAAGAGAGCTCGCCAAGTTGGAGACAGAGACTGAGACCAAGCTTTCCATGAAAGAACTTGCTCAAACCTTCGAGAATCTGGCACATGGTGGGTGTGAATCAAGTTAAAGAGATGGCAGATGGGAATGATTTTCAGTGTTCCAGTGGGGCCCAAATGTATGAGCTAGTGAAAATGCTTGTATTTTATATTTATTTCGTATATATATATATATA